TGCCTGTACGTGGGCCCGAGTGCTTCTAAGCACCTGATTTTGCTCGTACATGAGTGGGGAACATTCTCTTAAAGTTTCAGCTTTCTAGCTTTTGTCGTGCCCGGGTTAGTGATTTTCGCGCCAAAATTTCCACGCGCTCGTATGTGGGCCACGGGCGTTCCTAAACAACTTATTTTGCTCGTACATGAGTAGGGAACATTCCCTTAAAGTTTCATCTTTCTAGCTTCTCCCGTTACCGGGTTAGTGATTCTCGCGCCAAAATCTCCACGCGCTCGTATGTGGGCCCAGAGCGCTCCTAAACACTTGATTTTGCTCGTATATGAGTGGGGAACATTCCCTTAAAGTTTCAGCTTTCTAGTTCTTTCCGCTCCCGGTTTAGTAATTTTCGCGCCAAAATTTCCACGTCCTTGTACGTGGGTCCCGGGTAGTTCTAAACAACTGAATTTGTTCGTTCATGAGTAGAGAACATTTTCTTAAAGTTTCAGCCTTCTAACTCTTCCCGTTCCAGTGTTAGTAATTTTCGCCAAAATTTCCACGCGCTCGTATGTGGGCCACGAGCATTCGTAAACAACTGATTTTGCTCGTACATGAGTAGGAAACATTCCCCCCAAAGTTTCAGCTTTCTAGCTTCTTCCGTTCCTGGGTTAGTAATTTTCGCGCCAAATTCCCACGCGCCCGCACGTGGGCCCCAGGCGTTTTTGATCGCCTGATTTTGGTCGTACATGTGTAGGAAACATTCCCCTAAAGTTTCGGCTTTCTAGTCTTTCGCGTCCCCGAGTTAGCAATTTTCGCGCCAAAAATTTTCACATGCCCGTGCATGAGCCCTGGGCTGTCCTAAAGGGCTGAGTTTAAAAAATTTTGGCCGCACATGAGTAGGGAACATTCCCCCAATGTTTCAACTTTCTAGCTTTTCTCACTCCCGAGTTATGAATTTTCCCGCCATAATTTTCATGTGCCCGTACGTAAGCCCCGGGCAGCCCTGGGCAGCTGAATTTGAAATCTTTTTGTCAAACACAGGTAGGGAACATTCCCGCATAGTTTTCTGGTTAGCATATGAGCGGGGGATATGCCCAAAAAATTTCAGCCTTCTGGCTTCCGTGGTTCCCGAAATGCAGATCTTACCTACAAAAATTTTACGGGGT